GGTACCATCATCTCATCAGTATTAACTGTTTTTGAGAATTCCCAGCTGATGACTGCAGTGCTTTGCCAGAAAAGGTGAAGAATCCTGTCTGTTATTCTGTAACATTTTTTGATGTGATACTATTGTTCATTTGTAACTTCCATTCCTGCTCTCTGGGACAACAGCCTGCATTTTAATGGCTTGGTTAAAAGCTGCAAATGTGAAACCCTCTCCTTCGTTTATAAATATTTATGGTATAAGAAGGCTCCAGTAGCCACACGCTGAATTTCTGACCAGGGTGACTTTCATTAAGGTTTCCATGGAATCACAGTAGCCCCTGGCTGAATACAAATGAGAGCTGTGCATTTTGCTTTTCTATTTTAACTAAAACACGGAATATTGGAAGGAGGAGAGTTCCACAATGTATGTTGGGGCTTAGTGAAGCCTTGTTTGGGTCTGTTTAGCCCGGGGATGAGGAGTGATGAGAGCTGCCAGTCCTGAGTCCGCCCCACGTGAGTCACAGGGTCCGATGCTTTCAGGGCTGAGGCTGCTGGGCAGGAAATTCCGAGCTGACTCAGCTGCACTCCCGGGCCACTGCAGCATATTGACAAAACCAGGCTGGCTTTGTATTCTGGTCACCCCTTCATAGGGAAGCAGAGAAAATGGATATTGTTAATAAGCATCCCCTGACTTCCTGAGTCTTCTTCCTTTGACGCAAACCAGGGAGTGCAGCCCTGAGCGAGGCTTTGGAGTAGCCCCATTTCCATTTTAGGGCCCATTTTCCATTTTTGTAGAATTTTTCTATGTAGGTTTGTGCCTTTTGTAATTTTTTTTTTTATTATTTTTAAATGATAACACAAGACTACAAAGAACTTAGGACATTGGGATGATTTACTCTTTATGGTTCAATAGAAAGAATGGTAAAACTCTTCAAGTGTACTTTTTTTTTTAGGGGAAAAAACTAGAACAAAACAACAAAAAAAAACCCCAAACAAAACCAGAATACTTTTTTTCCCCCTTTGGAATATTTAATCTCAGAAGCAAAGAACTTCTAAGAATTATCCTCTGGAGAGAAGATATGTTGCCAATTTATTTCCTAATTGGTCAGATAGTGGAAACACTTGTTTGTTGTGGCTGTTGGTGCGTTGGAGGATATTTATTACTTGCTCTTTCTCCAAACAGTGTTGTTTCAGAATTAATATTATGCTCTAAAAGATCAGAAATCTTGATAATTCCCATGCAGTCAGGCTGGTAATGAGGCTGCAGTCTGTGTTGTAGCAAGTTACTCCTCGTGTTTTTAATCATCCTGTTGAAAATCTTTTTCTGAAAGCTTAGTGCATGGATTACACTGGACTTAGATTAGATTTCAAACTTGCTTGAAATAACTTGAATATTATTCGAGTTGCATATTTTTACCGTTTTAATACAAACAAGGTCAGAGTGTTGAGTACAGAGCAAGCCTGGAACTGAGAGAGCAGCTGTGGAACCACTTTGGAGAACCAAGCCTTGGGAATAAAACTCGCTTTTACAAAGACATTGTTCTCAGTTTAAGTAGATCTGTTCTAGCTTTACTGGATGCTAATAACACAAAGGAATGTTTTTTCCTTTTGTTCTTTTTTCCTTCCCTTAACAAGCTCTTTAACATTTCAAACAGTTGTGGATGAGGGCTTTGAGTAGTATATTTTTTTGTTTGTTTTTCCAGGTCTATAAAGGTGAATTTCAGCTTCCTGACTTCCTTAAAGAAGTGCCACAGGTACAGTATTGAATTAATTTCCTCATTTGTAGCAGCAAATCAGTGTGCAAACAGTCTTTATAAAACCACTTCTTCATGAACCTGATTTTTCTGAGTGATGACAAGGGAACAGCTTGTCCATGAGGTGGAATCTCCAGTTCCAAGCCTCTCTTGAGTCCATGTGTAACTCCAGTGATGCTTGTCAACCTGAGCTGCCTGAATATTTGCTGTGAAACTCAAGGAAAGTTGGAGTTTCTTTTGTAGACCAAACTGCAAAGTGTGTTATTTGCAGAGGAGCTTTTATCTTTTGTTACCTTGCATGGAAAGGTTTAAAGCAAGTATAATACAGAGAGAGCAGAGTTATAAGTACTGAGAAACTTTAAAAAGAAATAGTAATGTTATCAGACATAAACAAAACCAGTTCAGCCATGGATAGGGTGCTGTGTTGGGTTAATAATCAAGTGAGCTATTGAGCTTCAGATTTTACTGAGAATTCATAAGTTGGTACCTTCAAATGCTGTTAATTGTCAGCTCCCTGAGGGGCCTGACCTGTGCAATTGCAGTTGAAAAAGCAAAATCCTTGTCATGGAGCTCTCAAACTGCAGGATTTTGTGGCACCTTCCCCCAGCCATGTGAACATCATGGAATCATAGAATCACAGGATGGTTTGGGTTGGAAGGGGCCTTAAAGCTCATCCCTTCCATGGGCAGGAACACCTTCCACTAGACCAGGTTGCTCCAAAACCCCTCCAACCTGGCCTGGAACAATTCCAGGAATAAGGCAGCCACAGCTTGTCCGTGTGGGAGGCACACAGGTTAAGAGTACACAGGAGAATCTACCACATGTAAACAAAGCATTTTGACTTTTTCCTTTTGTTCAAACGAAAATTAATTGCTTAAAAAGGAAAATCGGTTTCTTTTGTTCCAGCCAAAGAAGACAGTAGAAAGGAAGTCTCGTGGCAAGATAAAATGAACGTGGACCAGTGAAGTCAAATAGCTGTAGTGTCTGTGTCATGTTTTCAGAACATAACTTTGCTGTGGGCACCAAATCTCTCTGATCAGTCTTTGTGTGACCTCTAACGTGGGCTTGGCTTTTTACTGGATGTCTGCCTGCTCTCACCCTTGGGTCAGTCAGTGCTCCTGCTTTGCCAGTCGTGCTCAGCTCCTGGAGAGCCATTCCAGAGCTGGCACCACGCAGCTGCCTGGGCTGTGCTCACAGCATCGTCCCCTCTCCAAGTCTCTTGCTGGCCCAAGTCTCTGCAGCTTAGCGGCAGAAATGCTGTTTAAACGTTCTTAATGTGCTGCTTAACGGTCCTGTCAGCAAACTGTGCTGAGGGAGCGCTGGGGTTAGTTCTGATGCTTTCACGTGCCATTACTGTGGTGATTCCGAGATTATCTGCAGCCTTTCAGATAAAGCTGTGGCATTATCTGGCTGCAGACACGGGGTGTGCCATGACAGATTAAATATTGCTGATAAGGATTTATGGAAAAGGCAGGGATACGAGTTATCTTCAAAACTGAGCACACTGTGTGTGTGCCAGCAAAGTAAATCCTTGATTTTTTTTTGAATGAATCCTTGATTAAATCCTTTAAATCCTTGATCTTTATACAGTGTCCACTAGTTAAATTTTACTATTTTTGTTTTTCAGTTATCTTGTGACACCTCAAAAGAACCTGGGCCACTCTAACTAGTAAATGTCCTTTCATTCCATATGACAGGGAGGTTTCCAAATGGGACTCTGCTAAATTCCAGGAGGAGGATTTATACAGTTAGCTTGGTGCATTACAGTATTTACCAGACTCCGAGCAGATTTATCCAGAGTAAAAGAAAGATCATCTAAAAGGCAAAAAATAAGCTTTGTGAAATAGTAAAGGAATATTTCTTAAACCATAAAAACTGGAATTGAAGTTGATAGTGTTCTCTTTTAGTGTATTATACTAAAGATAAAATTAACATAATGTAACTAAACACCTCGATGCTTTGGAGTACAAACATAAGTGCTCATAATGAATTTTTTTTTTCCTCTAATGTAAAATAGCTAATTTTAGTTATTTTTTGACAGACTGAACCTATGGAATAGAAGATAAAATGGACATTTCTTGCACAGAAGGTAATAAAAGATCATTGCAGTCCTCATTTGTTGCTCTCAATTTAGTTTAACTGAATTTTTCTTAACTTATGTTAAAAAAACTCTGTGTAAAATTCTGGGTAAGAAAAACATGAAATACAGACCTTAGTTCAGAACCTGTAAAAATCACTGTGAGGTAAGTGCAGTCCTATATGGCTCATCATACTTTCAGTATTTGCTATGTTATTGGATTGACAACTCTGTTTTAGAGCTTGAAATTGGAAGGAGGACATAAAACTATAATTTTATTATTAAAAAAACAGGGAAACTTTAAGGATGACTCTTCATCACCTGTGTAATTTTGTTTTTAAAGTACTTGCTCTTTTGTGATAGTGGAAACTGATAAGCTAATTTGTTTTTAATGTGTCCCATAGCCAGTATTTATAATAAACTGCATTTTAATAATTGAATAAACAATGGCAAATTGTGCAGTAAATTCCAGACTAATTAAGGAATGAATGATGCAAGAATTACTGTATTAATCCAGGATTTTTACTTGTCAGCTATGTTATCAGATATTCTGGCTTGACAACAAAAGATGACAAAATGCTTCCAGTTTAAATATAGCCAAAAGCAACATGCCCCACCAATACACCCAAAATAGATCCTTACATGGCCATAAATATAGTGCCCTAAATATAGCCAAAAGCATTGCACCACTTAGAAATAATGGATATAAAAGGTTTCCAAAGATTAATTGCAGGCTTTCAGTCTGAAATGGATAGAGAAACCATAATCTTTTCATGTAGTCAATGTTAAAATGACTAAAACAGCAGCTTCATTTTGCCACTTAGCTCTGAAAAATATACTTAAAACTGCAATATTTCTGTCTAAAGCTGCTGCCCAGTTTCTGGGAAACCAAATTGTGAACTTCCCAGCAGTAGCTTCCCCTGGTACAATGCTGACTTCCAGCACGTCAGTGCAGCCCATTGTCACAAATTCTTGGAATGTAAGTGGAAAACCAATATATTTTTTGCATCTAAATCTTCTCCAAGAAGTCACTGTAATGATAAACGATGGACAAAGCAGCCACATTCCTCACAGGAACGTTTTAGTGGCTGTGGTTTGTCTTGACAGTGACTTTCCACCTACTGAAAGAGCAATGAATTAATTCTGCATTATATGTAATTCCAAAACATTGCTGAGGATAGGAGCCAAATATTACACAGAAAGCTCAAACATAACTTTATTTTTCCTTTTCTTTAGAAAATCGACTGCTGCCTTTTCCGTGGGAATGATCCATCCAGCCTGTCCCCCCAGGATCACTGAGGTGTGCTGCTCATGGCCTGCTTCCTTCAGAATTTTCTCTCCCGTTTCTTTCATACTGTTTTTGTTCAAAATTTTGCTGTTGTGAGCGCATGTAAACCTGTTAAAGAAAATAAAAAACACTGATGTTAACGTAGAACTGTATTACATTCGCACAACTATTTTTTTAAGGTTTTAAAAAAATGCAAAGCAATGCCTGTCTCTGAAATTGCTCTTCTGTCTTAATTACAAAGCTCCATCTTCAAAGATTTTTTTTTGTTGTTGGTTTTTTTCTTGTAGCAGTTTGGTTTTAAATGTATGAAGCTTTCAAGAGTGGTCTGTGCTTGTCCTAAAAGATTTCTGGTGGAACAGTTGTCTGTTTTATTCATATGTGGAAATTGTTAAATATCTTTTATTTAAAAAAAAAAGTTGATAAATTACATGTATAATTACAATTCAATGATCTTTTGTATTTTATTTTTCAAAATAAATGCTTTAAATGTGATTTTCATTTATTAATATTTTTGTTTCGGAGTTAAGATTTAAATAATTCAAGATGTTGATGCATTAGTGGAGGGGAGATATGATCTCATGTCCTGGGTTTGGGTCTCTCTTTAAGATTTGCAATTCAATGCTTTTTGTTTGCTTTTAATAGCTGGGTGACGAGGAAAAAGTAAATTGGAGTGTCCCGCTGAGAGTTATAAAGAAAGTAACATGAGATTTCTTTACTGCAGGAGAACGAAGGTAATTTTTAGCCTCTCGAATTTGTTCCTCAAAAGCCATTGTGTTCGGAGTTGTGCTGCTGTGAAACTTTATCCTGGGTATCAAAACTTTAGGATACAACGTGGAAGGTGATTATTCGAGTAAGGTATTTTTTAGGTGGTTTTTGCCTCATTTTGTCCCATTTTCTGTTCACCTCAGTGGCTCACGATGCTGAAGGTGGGCTCAGCCTTCCCCACTGGTTTTAAGAGAAGTTCTTTCAAAAATACTTGTGTTTCCACAACTTCTGCCTCTCCGGCCCTGAAAGAGTTGGGTTTTTTTTATTATTTCCCTCCGTTCCTTTTCTTGCTCCAGCTGAGATGATTAACGTGTGTCTCTAAAACCACCGCGAACACCAGTGAAGGATATCAAAGTCCCTTCAGGGAAGAAGTGAATTCGACACTTGGGTCCAGCTTTCCCAGCTCCTTCACCCTCGGCTCGTTCTCAAAAGTGATCCCGGGGCCTCCCCTAGTGCCCGCCGAGGGCAGCGCGGCCGCGGAGCCGCCATCGGTGCTCCCGGTGCTCTCCGGCAATTAATCACGGCTAATTAATTACCCGCGGGGCGTTTCCCTGCGAGCGGCGCGGGATCGAGGAGCGAAGCGCGGGCGGGGCCCTGAGGGGAGCGGGGGGGGGGGGGGGGTGTGGGCGCTCCCGCCGCCCCCCGTGTGGGGACGGGCCCGGCCCCGCCCGCGCGGGACCCGGATGGGCCCTACGTGACGCGGGGCCGGGGCAGGTGAGGGCGGGCGGGCCCCGCTGTCCCCGTCCCGTCCATCCCCGTCCCGTCCATCCCCCGGCTGATGCGGCGGCGGCGGCTTTTCCCCCCGGAGCCGCGGCTCCGCTACCGACCCCCGGCGGCAGCGCGGGAGGGGCCGCTCAGGTGAGGGGCGGGAGGTGCCGCGGGGCGGGAGGGGGACGGAGCGGGGGCCGCTGCCCCGCGTCCGGGGACTCCGTTCAGACTGTGCGGGAGGCCCCAGCAAGTCGCTAGGTGACAGCTAATAGTTATTTATTAATTAATTAATTATTGATTTATTTGCCGGACGCCTGCTGTACCCACCTGAGCCCGCCTGAGGGGGCTGTGCTGCCCGGTCGTGGGTGATGCCTCTGCTCCCCTCAGCTGTCAGACTAGAGAGCGGCTCCAGGCTCCAAAAGCTGTGGAATTCTGTTTGAAGTGGCGATGCCAGCCACCAGCGAGTACAGCCCCAGTGTCCTTTAGCCACTGGTTTCTCGTAGCTCCCAGTCAGGTCTCCCCCCTGTCCTGCTGCTGCCCTGGAAGTCACTGGTGATGGAGATGTACACACCCATACACCGTGTCTCTGCTCCCTGCTCCAAAGGTTAAGTTACACTACCCCTTCATCATACTCTGTGTTGTCTTTTGCTCATGCCTAGAGGTGTTGAGAATGTCCAGCATTTTACAGTCCAATGTATAATACCCTTTACTGCAGCTCAGGGATCCTGCCCCCTTTTTCAGGGTGTTCCTTCACTGTTCTGATGCAGATTTATGAGAATTTACTGGATGTCAGGTCTCATCCCAGTGCATTCACACAAACCTTTGATCATCTGAGTCTTTTGAAGATAGCTATGGAGAGACTGCTAAGTGACATCTCATTCTGTGACCTCACAGGGACACAGTTGCTCTTGAAAAAGGGGGAGCCTTCCTAAAATCCAGTTGGTATCTCCTCAAAACAAGCTTTGAACTGAAATCTGTGTGGGTCTCCTAGGATGGATTCATACATCAGTACCTTACTGGAAAAGACTTTGACCATGTAATCATTATGTCACTTTTTTTGTAGATATGTAGCTTTTTTAGGTGTGTCACTTTGCCAACACTCGTGTAATCTCAAAGTATTTAAGAAAAGGTTGTTTAAACCAATACAGAAAAGCTGAGGGAACAGCAGAGCCTTGAAAAGTTTTGTTGACTCTTACTATCCAGTCCAACTTGCTGCTGTAGGGTTGCTATCATTCCCTGGGGAATGAAGCCAGACTGGCAGGGCCAGTTCATTTACTGAGATGTCTTTGGGAGGTGTGTGTGTGTGTGTGACAGTATCTGAGCTGTCCATAAAAAAGTTCCAGGAAGCAATCTCTGCATTTAAATGCCAGGTAGAAGGACTGGCAGGAGGTATTTGTGGTAGAGTTGGATGCTGCTGACCTTGGTTCAGTTAAATATTTGATTTAATAATTTTGTTCATTGATGATGTCCTCTCATTAACTGTCTGTTGATCTGCACTCAGATATATTTGAAAGTGAAATGGATGCATTTACTTAGTTTAAATAAATAAAACAAACCCTGTAACTTTAATGAGAGATTTAACAAAAGGAATATTTTTGTGCATAGTTAAAAATAATTATTGCACATTCTTTAAAGTGGCAAGAAGAGGATAAGACCAGGTTGGATGGGGCTTGGAGCAACCTGGTGCAGTGGAAGGTGTCTCTGCCCAGGGCAGGGAGTTGGAACAAGATGAGGTTTAAGGTCCCTTCCAACCCAAAACATTCTTGATTTTATGATACAGATGGATGCATATTCTTCATGAAATGCAGAGAACTGAGTGTCTGTCAGAGAACTGGGCAGTGATCAGCTTCTGTTTTTCTTTCAGGGAGACTCTGCTCCTGTCACCACTCCACTGTTCCACTGCTCCGTGCCCGGGGGTGAACTGGTGAAGCAAACCTGGAGAGGGACTTCAGTCACCTTTTAATGAGGGTCAAAAAACAGGTTAAACTTGTCAGTGATTAATCTCTTCATTTTACTGCCACTAAACTTAATCTTGAAATCCTGGGCAGAGAACTTGTCTGCCAAACCTCACTGTTGAGGGCACTGTTTGTGTGAATGTTCCAATGGCAAAGGAGGCTGTTACTCCTGGGTGTAAGAGAATTAAGGTATGCTCTCTCATGGTTTTTTTTCTTAAACCTTGGTGTCATGTTGAAGGAGGATGATGAAAGAGGAAGAATTCCTTTTTCTCAGATCTCTAGTTCTGGTAGGAAAGGGGCCCTTTTTGGTACAGTGCCAAATGGAGGAACTTACCCCAAACACATTCTGTGGTCGATGATTCCCATATACTTAATGGAGCTGAATGTTGTTTATTCACAGGATGATCCATTTAAGTGAAATATATGGGACATTCTTGAAAAATGTAGACAATTACAGAACACATTTTTGGTCAATCTTGAGTCTTAAGAGAACTGGAAATAGCAGGCAAAGCACTGGTGTCAAGTGACAGCATTATAAATAATACATTCACAGTAAATACAGGCTCACTGAATTTTGACTGTGCATCTTATAAATGAAGCTTCTGCAAGCTGTTTCTGGGTGATAATTTGTTTACTTCTTTAAAGGAGCTCTACCAAAATAATATTTCATTTATGTTGTGTCTGTTCTTTATCTGTGAGGCGTAGTTGAGTTGTTTTGATAATTGATAATGTCGGAACAAATGTTGTTTCAGGACAAATATTAAAATTGCTAATAGGGTGTGGACACTGAGAAGCCCTTCCATCCTTATTTGTCTGCCTATGCATTGGACTGTGGTGGAAAAATGGTTATAAACTGTAGAGAAGAGAAGTTAAATACCTGTCCTAAGCTGAGCCAAACCTCTTAAGAGCTGCAGCTTAAACGCAGTGTTTGACACTTCAGGGTACCTATTTATCTGTGTTTATTATGGTGTTAAACAGAGTGTAGAATTCACATCCAAATTTTGGTGAAAGCAGGCTGTGGATACTCCCTCAGAACGTGGAGACTGTGATCTGATCAGCTCTCTGCAGAGTATCTGTTTTGCCCAGGAGAATCCAGAGTCTCTCTGGGTTCTTTCTGAACTTGCAGCATTTCCTTTAGGAGCTGAGATCTCCAGACAGGCTGATGATGTGCACAATGCACTGTGTTAGCAGAATTGTACAGGCAGAATAATTAATCATGTCTTTCCAAATTTTATGTCATTTCTTCTTGCTGATTTTGATGGGGAAGCACCCTTTATGAACCATTTGTTTAGTCAATAAATAAACGCACCAGATGTGCTCGTGCAAATAACCCTTCTCTTTTTATATTTCATAGTGATTTCAGAGAAGGAGCTGGCAGGGTTAGAGCTAAAGCCTCTGCTGGTGGTGATGCCTTTGTTATGGCGTTGTGATGCTGCTGGAGGCACCACAGCAATCCTGGAAACGGGGATTTTACATAATGCAGCGTAAAGGGAACAGCAGGGTTTCCTCCTCTTTGCTGCTCTGCTCTTTCATTTATTATTTTTATAGTGGTTAGTCCGTCCCGTGCTGCGATTGAAGGTGGACTGTGAAAGCCTGCTCTGTGCCGGAAAGGAAATGGATAATTAGCAGTAAATGCGCGGAATAATAAGCAGAATTAAATACATGTGTGTCAGACGGGCGCGTTCATGTGCGATGAGATGTGATGCGGTGGGCACGGAGACATCGGTTTTCTCCGGCTGGTGAGAAACCTCAATTGGAAAATTTGGCAGGGAAGGCTGAGCGGAGCCCTGCCCGGTGCCCGGCCCTGCTCCCGGCTGAAGGTGACAGACGGAGCGCGGGTGTCGCCCGGCGCGGGGCCAATGGCAGGACGTGTTCCTGCATCCCGCCCATGGCGAGGGACAGGCTGGGACAGCGGCCACCCAAATCCACCCAGCAAATGACATTTTCCTGCAAAAGCGCGGCGGAGCCAATCGCTCCCTGCACTGTGCAGCCAATGGATGCCGGGCTCTTACCCAGCCACTGACAGCGGCTCCGGGGCTGGAGGGCCTCGGGACAGCTCTGCCAAGCGCGTTCCTGCACAGCCCGAGCCCCCGGTGTGGGTCCCATCCGTGCCGTGATTCATTTCCCGGCCATAGCGATGCCATTGTGAGCCCTCGGGGTGACGCGGCGAGCGACGCGTCCCGCCCGCAGCGACCCGCGGCTGGCGGGGGCAGCCCGAGGTGATCCGGGGTTTGTGTTCCCGTTTAGCAGTGCCACGGCTGCCTACCCAGCAGACCTGCTCCCGAGAGCCAGAGGGATGGTGGTAGTTACGGGGCAGAACAAAGTGAGTGGAAACCCGGATGATGCCATGTCGAGCTCGGATGCAGAGGATGATTTCCAAGAGCCGGCCACTCCTACTGCAACCCAGGCAGGACAAGCTCTACCTCTGCTGCCCCAGGAGGTAAGAGCTCCCCGGTGCCGTTCACCTGACAAGGTCCAGTGATGGCAGCACGCACTGCTCAGCTGCCAAAGAATCCAGGAGTTGTTTGCTGGACTATTTGTGGATGTGCAGTTCAGTTTCCATTAGTAGCTAAATGTTTGAATAAAACTAAGTCTCTTGAATTTATTTCAGTTGCTTGTCGGCTTTAGTTGTCAGTTCCATCCATGTTTGGAGTTGAGAAATATAATGAAGTGTTTATTCTGGTGCTTCAGGCGTCTTAGAGTGTCATTCTAAGATTTTAGGCCTGATGTAAATACAGAATCACTGGGGATTTTTAGTGTATGGTTTAGCAGTGTAAAGAAACCAGCAGAGTAGCAACTGAGTGCAAGTCCTAAGGCTGGCCTGAGATTTCTTCCCTTTTTTTTTTTTTAGCTCTACACGTGTGTCTGTCTCTGTGTAAGGGTGGGAAGCCAAGAGGAGGCATTAATACTTTAAATTAATATCTGGCATTAAAGCTGAGTGATATCTGCTGTTTCAGATTCCAGCTACAATTAAACCACTCACTGATTCCACCCAGAAGCCAAAGTATCCAAGCTGTTAACCCTCGAACCTCTCTGGTTTGTGGCAACAGGGCAGGGAAGAGGAGTTTGTCACGGCGGCAAAGACCGGGTGCTGTGTTTTGGAAGCTGCAACCCTGCAAAAGGCTGGAGGCTCCTTTCTGATGGTGTGATTGCTTTTGCAGTTTCCAGAAGTTGTCCCCCTGAACGTGGGAGGGATGTACTTCACCACGAGACTGTCCACCCTGAGGCGTTACGAGGACACCATGCTGGCAGCCATGTTCAGCGGGAGGCACTACATCCCCACGGATGCTGAGGGCAGGTACTTCATCGACAGAGATGGAACCTACTTTGGGTATGTGCAGTGCCCCCAGTGCTTCCAGGGTTCTTCCTGAAGAGAGTCAGTTTTCAAGAAAAATAAGTTTTATAACGTTTATTTTCCTTCTGGTGAAATCCCGTTTGTGTGGGAGGTAAACGTGACTGGCTGGCATCCACACCCTCAAAACATAACAATAGTATATGGCAATTAAACAGCTATTCATTTTACTCTCAAGTTATGCAATGGGAAAGGAAAAGCCACCAATATTTTGTATTTGTACAGTGTCTCCTCTAGAGTGTCTCCTTTCAAGGTATTGAATTGTTCTGATGTCTTAATTTGGTTTGTTTGGTGTTGCTTTACATAGGAAGCTCCTTTGAACAGCACTGGGTTTTAATTGATATTACAGTATCTAGGATAAAGAAGGAATGGAAGGAATGCATCCAGGTTTCTTACACAGTTGAAAGTATGTTATTTTCAGTCTTTAAACAGGATATAACAGAACTGGTAAAAAAGCCCAAGCCTCAAATAATTTCTTTTTTA